ATTTTAAATTTGTAGGTTATCTGGGACTTTTTAACATAGAGTACAAAATAAACAGTAGACCACAGTACAGTAAACAAAATATAACCATAACTACCAGTAAATAATAATAAAATGTAGGATATATTGAATTTATCACAGGTTGTATTGTTTTTGTTTATAGAAAGCAGATCTTAATATTAAAATATATTTATTTCTACCCCTTGTAATTTATATATATCAGCAGATTCAATAACCTCAGATCTAACAATGTCTACAAAATATCAAAATTATAAAATTATCTAGGCCTCTACAGACTAACATATTGGTATAAATGTGGTCTATCAATGTTTTGCAGTATTTCACTTTATCTTTTAAAGCTGTCCGTACAATGTATGTCGACCTTTTAACCTGATCAATTTCAACTCTTCATGACTAGAAGAACAGATTTGGTTTTACAAATTTATTAAATCGTTTGAAGTTTCTGATTTAGCAGTACAACCTATAAGAGTCATTAATAGTTGTAATTACACATGACATATTGTAATTACACATGACATATTGTAATTACACATGACATATTATAATTACACATGATAGTTTGTAATTACACATAAGAGTTTGTAATTACACAAGAGTTTGTAATTATACATGAGAATTTGTAATTACACATTCATATTGTAATTACATATTCATATTATTATACATTCATATTGCAATTACACATTCATATTGTAATTACAGTTGTAATGTAATTACACACTCTGTGTAATTACACATTCACACGGTAATTAGTTTTAAAATAATTACAGTTGCCATAATGTTATTACACATGTCATAATGTTATTACACTGTCATAATGTAATTACAGTGACTGAGTTCCACAGTGAGTGGACATTCAATATCAGAGTTGGTTTGTACATGAAAGAACGACATACAGATAACATAGAGTTATCCTTCCTACCTAAGTAAACTAGATACAGTAGAGGATATAATAAGCAGATCAGATGGAAGCATGTGAATAGATAATATCAGTAGACAATAAAGCTATACATATATGTAATAACAATATCAGCTGTGTGGAGACTAAACAATTGTCAACACTTGACTTAAACATGCAGTATGTAAGATAAACAGCTAGTCATTCTTCATAAAATAGTTCCAAAATAGATAATTCAAAATTAATATGTTGAAAATTTCAGTCATATTACTTTATTGTCAGTGAAGTTATGTTGCGTAAACTGTTGATTATCGTCGCAACGGTACTTGACAATTGAGAAAAAATCTTAATCTTCTATTTTATGCTCTGGACAGATGAGCGTATTTTTCCGCCCGATTGCGGCGATCGTCTCAAGAGCGTACGCCACTCTGTGAGTAATTATGTCGATCACATGACTTGTCCATCACGTGACTTGTACAAAATGGCAGCAATTTTGAGATCATGTGATATCAACGATCTCGATGATTGGCTTATAAAAATGAATCACCCGACAATATACGCTGGACACGGGCACACGAGCGAATTTAATCGCCAGCGAAAAATATTCGGCCGAAAATATCTAACATGCTAGATACGAGCGATTGATCGGGCGAATGGTTTGCCAAGCAGAATCGTCATCGCCCTGAAGGGGCACAGGGGCGTATTTTTCGAGCGATTTTAAAAATCGCCGCGATCAGGCGAAAAAATATGCTCGTCTGTCCCCCACTTTATAGTTCAAATCTTAAATAACTTATACATGTAGAACATTTGAAGCCAGATAAAAGACCTGCAGATTTAGCTCTTACATAATGCATCTTTAATATTTATTTTTAAATAAACAAGAGTTGAAATAACATGTAAGTGTGCTTTTTATAAAAAAAAAAAAAAAAAAAATATATCATAACAACCTTTCATTCAGAGTTTTAACATGTAAAGCTATCAACCTCAATTTGTGCCATTTCAATAATTTGATATAAATAAATATATGAAGTTATACCATGAATGTAATAAGAGAAAAACACATCAATCGATAAATGTACTTTTATCACTGAGCATTAGCATCTTTCACTGTGCTACAGCAACAACAGATACATTCGATAAGTTAGCAGACCTTGTGTTAAATCTCCACATTTATTCATGAAAACAGAAATATAATATATAGAATGTAGTCTTTTCATTGGCCAACTGCTAAAATATGTACAACTATTTGATTTGAGAGAGAGAGAGAGAGAGAGAGAGAGAGAGAGGGGGGGGGTAATGTCCACTCATACAGACTAGGTCAATTTGGGACTAACATATCGTTCAATTATTCACTTGAGTGTTAGGTCTTTAGCAGTGGGAAGAAACCTGAGGACCCGGAGGAAAACCTGCCAGGTTGGACAGGCGACTGTATAAAACATGGTCTGCCACTGACATCAAAGTATCTGTTGTTCGTGAGGCCACATCAATCTTATTTTTTTCATTTTTCATCATTTATATTTCCTCCCAAATCAAAACTTGAATTTAAAGTCAGCAGAAATAGTTTGAGAATGCCAGATAAAGCTCCCACTTCAAAATATTTTAGAAAGCCACGTCAATTTTGTTCATCGTATATAATTATTTTCAAACAATATGACAATTTATAATTAATTGATAGTGTTTTTACATAAAGAATATAAATTTAACGTACCTACGATTGAACACAATTTATTTTTTCCTTCGTCTGATACGAACAAAAATACTGATCACACAATGAAATTGTTGTGGTCTGAAGACGCGGATCATACGACAAGCCGATAAATTAATTAGAATTGTATTACACATAGCTAGCAAATATTAATTCACATGAAATTAATTGTGACCCTTTTATAAAAAAAAAAACAAATTGGCAAATATAGAATGTTTTCTTCTAAACATGCAAAACATTGCCGGACATTTCAATTTACACAGAGATATTTAACGAATCAAGTAAAAGAAAAACATTCTATAAATACAACTACAAACATTTATTTACAACAAATGGTTTAAAATTTTAGCAAATAAATTGACAAAACTCTGAATACGAGTTTGGATGTAACAAATACTTTAACAAAGATTTCAGTTTTAGTTCAGAGATAAAAATATAAAGACATACATATTACAAACTCTGTTGACCATAGAAGAAGTATCCGAACTTAATGATATCCAAAAGTCTACTCCTGGTGTACAGGTACATTGAGATATGTAGGCCTTGTAGGCTTATCATAAAGTTAGGAATCTTTTTGGCAAACTCACTCTCCTTCAAAAAATAACTTCATGAACCTACAGGTAACCCCAGCCAAAGCAATAATGGATGTCGATAGGCTACGATTGTAGTTAATATTTAATTCTGTGAACGGAGCTAAATAAATTCATAATAATCAGTTTGTTTTTGATAAATAGATACAGAGAACTTTCAGCAGGTACATGTACATCTAATTGTTTTATGGTGAAGAAGACAGCATATTTATATTTATTTTAATTAAACTAAATATAAATACCAGTATGCTAAATACTGACGGACATTTAAAGATGTAAACACATAAAGCTGTCAAAATTCTCATCAAGTGTAGGCTTAATGTACATGCTGAATTAAGCTTCAAAGAACGTTCGGTTTTTTTTTTATCATTGTCAACAGTAGGTCTTAATATATATCAGATAATCAGCTACATGAACAATAATCCTTTCAAATTTTGATTTCATTTCAAATAAATATATAATATCAAATCTACATACATGTATGTAATACATGTAGATTTTGAGAATGAATTTTTTTAAAAAATGTATTCGATTGATTTTGAGGATTTTTTTTTTTTGGAAAAGGTAAAATCAAGCTCCAGCCAGCAGATCTGTACAAATGTATAATCCCTTTAAATTTCAGTTGATATAACCAACTGATTTTAAAACAATTTAATTTAACAATTCCCATCAACTACATGTACATGGATGCATGTATGTGTAAAATGTACTCGGGAGTAGCGTAACACATGTAAGTTTGTGTTATACAGTAACAACCGAGAGAAATGTAAACATGTAGACAAGATGAACAAGGTGCATCCACTGTTTTGCTAACTTGATGTACGTGCATGTTATAACCAACACATCATTCATTTGATGAAATATTTAGAGCAATTCATTTATCGTTTATGAATGGAGGATGTGGGAGATGAGTTTTTAGGAAAGAGCTGACTTCACTCTTGAATCCTACATAAAAAATTTGACGATATAAAACATCGAACTACTAACATGATTTACGAGAAAATTTGAACGATTAAAAACCCCGATAAAAGAGTAAAATATAAATATAACTACTTTTACTGAACATTAAACACAGGTTACCATGGTGTTATGTTCACTTTGGCTAAAAATAGAGATCCAATCAAATACACTGTAACAACTTAAACCAACATTTCATTCATTGTGTGAACAGTCCTTGACCAATAAAAATATCCATTACATCTGTACATATATAAAATGAACTGGCCTTTACTGTGGTATTTCAACATCTCCATGTTGTACGCTTTCACAGTTTCTTCTTGTGGAATAAAATAAAGCTTTGTTTTCACGCACAAATTATCGTTAATTTACGTCACATCCGCGTACAAATCAGCACTATTCAATATTGAATTTGATCTCTATGACTTTATTTAAACAATGAATACATCTCGGGGCAGGGACCTTCGCACATCTAAATAAGTATTAACTTGAATCGTGAAATCCCATATTCAGTCCTGCACACAGAACAACAATCATCATTTATCTATACCGAATCTCAACGAATCCCTGCATATTACAGGCTCGTTAAATTGTTATTTGATTTTAAAAATATTTAGGTACATGCTTGTTTTACGTCCATCTAACAACTCCAATCATCGCAAACATATAACTGATGAAAATCGAAGGAATTGTCACCATACACTGTTTGACTTTGTTATTTCATTAACTAGATAATAAGCTGGTTACTATGGTAACTATAAATATATGTTTCTTGTGTACGAAAATCACAAAAAGCAGGAGAAAAAAAAAAAAAAAAATAAACATGACCAGATAAGAGAACTAATTATCATTTCTGTTTTTGATATGAATCTAACACAATATTTATTTCAATTTTGCGGCCACTTTGTCTAGTACCGTTGGTTACCATACGATTTATTAATTGATCAAGCAGATACGATTTCTACGATGGATTCTTTAATTATCTCACCAAAATTGGGACTACTTTTTTCCGAATGACTTGAAACTTTCGTTTTCCAATTAGTTATTTCGAACGGTTCTTGCGTTTCCGATGATCCAAGTTTAGTGACCGTGGCATCGTCCGAGACGGCACATTCGTACGTTCCGAGTCCATCGCAACTATCCATCGAACTTTCAGAATGTAGAGAGAGTTTTTCTGATTGATCCAATGGCTGTGTTCCATCATCATCTAGGAAACTATCATTGGTTGATTCACTGGTGTCCAACTTGGTCATGTGACTTGAAATAACGGGACAGTTTTCAGCCAGACGGTCGCGTGTTGTAGTTGTCATGGTGGTGTAAGTTGATAAAACAGGTTGTATCGTGTCGTAAGTGTTGGATTCTGGGAAGGTTTTGGCTGCGTCTGCCCAGGCTTTTGTTGTTGCGTCTGTAGGTTGAATAGGGTTCAGCATGTCTGATATGGGTTTATAAGATGTCGTTGATGGTTTTAACTCCGTGTATTTTGGCGGGGACTCTACGGGTTGCGAGATAAACTTCTGCTCGGTCATCTGACAAAATTTATGATTCTCATTTTCCTTGATGTTATACTTCAGCGTACCTTCATATGATTTAAAATGAATGTCGTCAGCAGTAATGTTACCCCCCTCTCCATTATACGATATGCTTTCACCATTGTAGGGTTTGAAATGTCCGTTAACGCCTTCCCGAGAACAATCTGAGTACGCCGCGTTGACCCCGTTAACTCCCTGCTTAAAATCGTAAACATGAGACACTGTACTATCCGCATGGTAGCCATTTTTACTATCCGTGTGATTCTGGTTGTACATTAGAACGTTGTGTATGTTATCCGTGGTGTTTGGCTGTGTCGTCATGGATACTGATGTCATGTTAGTATTTTGTAAATAGTTTTGCGTTAAAGCAGCGCGTTGCTGCTGCTGTTCGACTCCCATTGTTGCGTACTGTACTTCTTGCATCATCGCATTACACACTTCCGTATTTTGACAATCGCGACAACTGCCCAGTTCGTTACTGTTAAAATGTGACAGATCGACATCGACATCTTCATCGATATCCTTTGATTCCCGCTGCTCGTTATTTTGATCCTTCATCATTTCCTCCCTGACGTTATTCAAAGCTTTCGCTTTGATCGACTCGATTTCTTTTTTTTCCAGTTCTAATCTCATCAACGTATGAATAAAATGAGTCCGAACGCGAATCGGATTGAATTCAATTCGTCCATTCAGATTACCACATCCATCTTTGCTACAGCCACATGGGAAGGATAGACGGTCGACTTGACACTTAATCCCAGCAGCACTACAAGCGCACGTTTCCGGATCGCAGAACACCTTGCAGTCGCATCCACACACTTCCCTCGACACGCGAATATCACGACACTCCTCCTTCTCCTCGCTCTCAATTTTTTTAACGCCCGATGTTCTGAGCATTAAACGCCTCTGTCTGATCGGCACGGGTTGAAGGAAATAACAATCGTCATAGTCACTATCGGAATCACTTCCGGACGACATATCCTCCGCGTTCTGAGGTACGACACTCTGTAATAAGGGACTAGGAAAGCTCTTGCCTTGACGACGTTGCTCTTCAATGATCATGCGGTGCAAACGTTTCTGTTCTTTGGCGTAGGATGAAACGGTGAATACCTGATCGTGGTTGTGGGAACTGGCCATACCTGTTAATAAAACAAACAAATAAAATAACCATAGTGATCCAATCTGATTAAAACACAGATCCTATTTCGTTTCATTTTTTATAGTTCAAAATTTCGTTTTACTTGTCTTTACTGCACTAGGATCTGGAAGAGTTGTTATATTACCGGCGTTCTGTCTGGTTGAAGTGAGGGATTACCCAATGAAATAGTCTGTTACAGTGAGTTCTTGGCGTGCAATGCACGGAACTGTGGGTAACCCACTAGAAACTGATTGATTAATCAATATCTGATGTTATACGGTCAAAAGCCGCTCGTACGACCCCTGACGCAACCTTCCAATACAACTTGTCAGATTTTCAGGTACATGTAGTGTAGGACATGGAATGTATAGATCTGTATTCTAATCAGATTGGTAGTGATCAATCTTTATACGTCCCCATTGAGAGAAATGGGGTTTAATGTTCACTCAACACAACTAGGTCATTTCGGGACTAACATGTTCAGTTTTATTTTAATAATTTGCTTGCACGTAGGCGTCTTTAGCAATGGGAGGAAACCGGAGGACCCAGAGAAACACCACGTGGTTGGACAGGCGACCCTACTCCTTGCCACATACAACCGGGGGAATCTAAACCACGCCAGTTGACTCAATGACAGCCATTACGATACAAGGCACATGCTCTAACCATTAGAGCCATCCAACCCTGTCATTTTTTATAGCATCTAAGGTTGAGTAGTGTTCTCCCTGAGAAGTACTAAAGAAACCTTAGATGCCATAAAAGATGGTTGAATAAGAAACTTTGATTGGATCCAAATCATAAAAACCATACCAGAAAATCCTGATGAACTTTCTCGGCTATAACCCGGGAGCCAACGTCTTACTTACTGAGTTACTGCGGCTCCCAAGGCAGAGAGAAACTTACCTAATGTAGAACCACCTTCGCTAGGAACACAAGTAAAGCCTTGAGCTCGTGGAAAATAAAACACTTTAACATGATCAAACTTGACAGACTTCTTTAACTTCTTACGTTTACGATCCATATCTGAAATAAATTAAAAAGTATTATTAATATTTTTGACCATTTCGATGGATTGTGGAAAATAATGTTATGGTAATTCTGTCATAAAATGAAATACAAATTATTACTAATATTTTTGACTGGCCTAATGACCATTTTAATGGACTGTGGAAAACAATGTAATGGTGATTTAAAATCTCGTCAACACTTCTGTCATAAGAGAATAACAGAACACATGCTTAATTTTTTTCTGAAGACATGTCATGACCAGACCACCCAAACAATGCACTTACATGTACATGCAGGTAACTTATCACCAACCATCCATATATAAGGAAACAGGGTGTTCACATAGAGAGGTGATTGAGAAAGAAATGACGTTTAATGTCAACCAGTCATTGTTGTTTGTATTTCAGAGACGAGCTGAAAAAACCCTTAATCAACAATTTGAAAAAATAGCTCCCCTAAAAAAGCTCTCCCGATTTCGATAAGAAAGAGTGATTTAGAAATTAAGCAGAGTTATTAGATGTGTCTATGGGAAAATCAATAACTGCATAGTACGAGGGTTATTCCTGGTTTCATAAATGATAATAAACTGCCTGTGACTTTGTAGAGTGATTTTCAATTTTAAGGGGAGGGAGACAAACCTCCCCTCACTCAACATTTAGGTGCATGACAGGCACTCGAGAGGTATCACTCGCCTTAAAAACAATGACTGGTTAACTCAACACAAACTAGGTCCTTCCGGAACTAAAATATTGTTCAATTTAATTTCAATAATTTGCTTGTGCGTAGGGGTCTTCAGAGCTTATAGAGGAAACCAGAGTACCCAGAGAAAACCTACGAAGTTGGCCAGGCAACCGTACAACTTGCCACGTACTTGCGCAATGGGAGGAAACCGGAGGACCCAGAGAAAAACCACAAGGTTGGACAGGCGACCCTACTCCTTGTCACATACAACCGGGGGAATCTAAACCACACCACTTGACTCAAGGACACACCTTTTTTTTTTATGATCTAACGTACAGGACCACCCAACCCCCTATATTAGAGAGGATTGTCTGTCTGATACGCCCGAATAGAAGATACATATAGATTTACATAGTACTAGTAGAGATTAAACTACTACACAGTTTTACTCAAAATTGTTCGCCTTATTTTAACTAAAATATAGCCCTTTATAAAACTTTTGTTGTTTTAATGTATCAAATACATCAATAAGAAACTATGTGCTAATTTTTGTGTTTCTGGATCAAAGAGTGATTGAAGGTTGACTTGTACAGGTCTTTCAATCACAATGAAATACATGTGGAATAACTTCTTTATATGTTTAGTTAATACCAATAATATTACATACTTATTATTGACTGAGGAACATCAGTGCTGCCATCTGTTTGAGCGCTACAGTTACTACTGTCGTCTGATTCTAGAGACGGTGATACCTCTCCCTCCTTCTCCTCGCCATCATCATCAAACTTTCTCTTTGGCATTTCTTCGTCTTCGTATTCAACATCCACTGACTAATTTAACATTTCTTTTCTGGAAAAAATAAATAAAAAATAATAATAATCGTCTACATTCACCATGTTTTCTATGATCAAGGAGCCACTACATGTAGGGTGACCCGTGCACTCTACAGAAAGTTGGTCTTTTTACAGCTGTAAAAAATCTATTGTTGACGATTTTGAATAGCAGTAAAATTTAACTTCTTGGTTATTACAGCAGCTTTAGAAATTACGTTTGTTTTATTTTTTAAATTGCTTTATCATTAACTGTACCGTTAGTACAAATACTATCTCTGAATCGCTTTCTTTAGCAGGAACATGATACTAACAGTAGTTTCATTTTACTTTTACAAGTTTCTTAAAACAATTGTTGAGTTGTCTAAAGTGCTTATTTCTAAATTCAATTCCTTGCTCTAGCTTTCTGTTATGTTTCGTAAAAAAGTAGTCTTGATTATCCCGACCTGTCAATCAGACGTAGAATGGTTGATAGACTGGTTAAGCAAGACTAATTTCAAAACAAGGGCACGTAACCTATCTTTTACTCAAAAGTGTCTGGATGTTATGGACGACATTTGGAACCAGTTTTCAGTCTATTATTTATAGATGATTAATGGTCATAGCTAATTAAGTACAACATGATCGTTTATTTAGTGACTATAATTGTGTGAAACTGATTTGAGGCTTGGCATATATATAAATATTGTGGCGTAATTGTCGAGATATTTGGAGATATTTATTTATGGTGGGTCACCCTACTACATGTAACACAATCGGATTTAAACACAGATACTATTTCGTTTCGTTTTTTATAGTTCAAAATTCTGTTTGACTTGTCTTTACTACACTAGGATCTGGAAGAGTTGTTATATTACATGTACCAACGTTTTGGCTGAAGTGATGGATTAGCCAATGAAACGGTCTGTTACGACGAGTTCTTGGCGTGGGATGCACAAAACTGTGGGTAAGCCACTAGAAATGTCAATGCTGATTATTGCTGATTGATTAATCAACGTCAGATGTCATATCAACGTTGACGAAACCTTTCGGTACATCTTCATAGTGTAGGCCATAAAAAGTATAAAGAAACAGAATGAAATATAGAACTGTATTTTAATCAGATTGCATGTAACTGATCCCGATATGAATAATCACCAAACTGGGGGGGGGGGGGGGGAATTATCAAAATCACTGTTGAATAAGTTAATTACTGAGATCATAAACAACATTGTCAATTCTCACTAAGGTTTGACTGATATTGATAGTAGGTGACAAGTTGATTCAACTTGACATGAAATTCAACACGGGAGGCCTAAAAGATCGTAATCATCAATTAATTAATTAAAGTCTATGATTATCATTTAAGGGAGTCTGAATCAATCCCTTGCAAATTACAATATTGTGAAAGCTGAATCAGTCCAAAACAGTTTCAGTGAGCAAAATGATCAATGGGTCCGACCAAGTTTCAGTCTTGACCGACATGGAACCCCTACATTCAGTAATGACCGGCATATACGACCGACATGGAACCCATACATTCAGTCATGACCGGCATATACAACCGACATGGAACCCCTGGTTCAATTAAATTCAGTATTTACAAAGATACTGTGTGTATATATATATATATATATATATATATATACATGTAAGATGAATTGAAAATTTTGTCTACAACATTCTGCATCCACTGCGGACAATATTCATGGGATATGGCCAACATTCCATCCGAACCTATGATTTTCAAATGCTTGGTTATGGCATGATTCAGCTACCCAATAATGTATTGTTCATTTACAACTCGAAAGTAAAAATGTAGTAAAAATTACTGTCAGATATTTTGGGGGCGGAAGAAATAGACCCCAGGGTGAGCACTGGACGTATGTATTTAAATTACATGTATCATATGTTCACCCTACTTTCATTTTCAAAAATAATCTCAAGGCAGAAAAACCCTACTCCTTGTCACCACTCAGGCCTACTTCTAAGTCTCGATTACCCAGTTTATCATTAAATTTTTAAATCTCTTGTGTGTTATAATCCAATTAAATGTCAGTCATCTGATATTCTAGAGGGTTGATTAAAGGCTGGTCATGTGAATAAAAAAAACTGTGAAAGGCAGATTTAGCTGTTACATAATTATGTTTAATCTCAATAAATTAAACAATAAATTAGAAGAGGGAGAGAGAGAGAGAGAGAGAGAGAGAGAGAGGGTTTAATGTCCGCTTGACTCAAACTAGGTCATTTCGGACTAACATATGGTTTCCTCCCACTGCATAGGAGTCTTTAGCAGTGGGAGGAAACTTGAGGACCTGGAGAAAACCCACGAGGTTGGACACACCACTCAACTCCTTGTAACTACATGTACAAATGAGGAATCAAAACCAAACCACTTGACTCAATGACAGACTGTCTGATACAACACGCATGCGTTAACTATTCGGCCACCCATCCTCCCCTCCACAACAAATTAAATGGTAATCAATGTTAATTGACTATCAGTTTTACAAAATTGTACCTGGTGTAAAAAATACATGAATACATGTAGATGGATAGGTTTGACAGTCGACCCTACTCCTTGTCACCTATGGATGAGGGGTCAAAGTCACGCACCTTGACTCAATGACAGACATTAAGATCTAAACAATTCTTCCACCCAATCCTAGAAATTAAATATCAGAAACGACTAACCTACATGAAGTACTTGCCATTGAGGCCAGATGTGACTGGATTTATTAAAATAATATCAAAACAAATCTGAGAAGACATTGTCCAAAATTTCACAATATGATCCGCAACATTAATAAATATTTCAATGTGGGTGTACATGTATAAAAAATGTCAGGTATAAGTATTAATTCCTTAGTTCCTCAATTTTAAAAATTAAAATTATTATTTATAAGTTTATTTATTTTAATTTCAGTAATTACAAAGGTATGATAAACTGAAATTTTTCTAAAATTCCAACCAGACTTATCATATCTTACATGTAGTTAATTTAAATCTTTACAAAGGTATGATGACATCATCCCGGGGTTTAAAGACCTGCTTATAAATCCATCCTTCTACGATGGGTAGTATGTTCAATCTAGTTGGGGTGCAAGATTGAACATACAATAACTCAACAAATCAATTCTTCTTGGTATATTTATCTTTCTTGTAACAATACTTAAACAATAATATCTACAATAATGACCCACAGGCTAGGTAACTTAATAAGGAACAGTGTCTAAGAAATAACTTATCAGAGACCAGGGGCCTGTTTCACAGAATTTTAACTAAGATAAAATCCAAATTTTAGTAATTTGATTGGATAATATTAGATTGATTTTGGTGCTTAGCCAATCAAAATTAAAGTATCTACTAAAATTTGAATTTTATCTTTAGTTAAGATTTCAAGAAACAGGGCCCTGCCCTTCAATATATCCTGGCTTTGATTAGACTCCAAGCTAATCTGTAATCTCTGGGACCTCAAATTAACTATGTTCTAATTCTACCTGGTTATAATGAACAGAAAATTTTAGAAAATTCCAACCAGAAGAACACCTATCTTACATGTAGTTTGTTTTCTTAATTAAATTAATAAACAATGATCAATACGAGAACTGTACAGCCTGGATTACGCCATAATAACTGAAGACATTTTCTAAAAATAGTAACAATGATCATCAACTTTAATAATTAATATTTAGATATTATTATTACCTAACAACCTGTTTGTTTACGTGCAAATTGATGGATTTTAAAACCTGTTCTTCACACCTCATCAACCCAGTCGATAGAGAATCAATACCGAAAGATGTAAACGATGTATTAACTGTTTAACAGTAATTCATAGCCTTCCTATATGTATTATATATTAACTGACTAACAGTATCACAAATCCCCTACTTAACCTCCCCATAACGTAATTAAACACAGCCATTTAACCTACTTGTTACGCGATGCACAACAAATTGCCTTGGTATATTAACACAATGTTATCCGACTAACAGAAACACATATCCCCCTACTTAACCTCCCCGTAACGTAATTAAACACAGCCATTTAACCTACTTGTTACGCGATGCACAACACAATGCATCCATTTCGTCACAAAGTTGACGCGACTCTCACTCCATACTGATCTCATTCTATTTAATAGTTTTATCACTCCATATAATCCACCAGTACTGCAGCCGACCGACAGCGCACGCGTTCCGTGGGTGACGAATCTTTACACTCTCTATATTTACCAAGTTCTAGCCGAGGTTGTCATGGATACTAGACAATTTCTAGATTAACGGCGAGGTTTGGTAGAATGAGTTTCATTGAGAGGAGTGGAGAAATCAATAACTTATAATGTCACTATCTCCACTCCAGCTGTATAAATCAATGGTAATTCAAGCCAGGGTAACACTGTCAGTAATTATTGAATGATATATATACGTGTTGTTTGTGATGTCCTGTAGACCTACACACAGACACACACACATACACCCACAAATAAATCTATATATATACGTCGTTATTAAAGGGTCTTCCTATCTACTTTAAAGGGACATCTCTACTTTTGATGACTGCCACAAGCATACTAAACTTAGGCTGTCTGTCTACAGTTAACTCCGCTTGAGAACAGACACTAAGATACATGTAGTTGACCGACATTTTAAGTCTTAAATCGACGATTTTAGTCAAAAACACTAAGTATACTTTAAGAGAATTTTGTTAAAGTAGTTATTCTGTTTCCATTCAATAAAATTGAAAAAGTTTATTTAGTCTTTGTGTGTATGACAGATGTGAAACAGAGTAGACCACATTAAAACAGTATACTTATTTTTTGATATGGCGGCCATTAAGGGCAGAGATCTATATTTGAAGTATGAAGTAGATGGTGCTCTGTGTGCAGAATGTGCCAAAGTCCTTTTGAAAACATTTTGTGTGGAATAGTGTAGTAAAGTTATTGTCTCTATTCCTTATTCAAGTGAAATGAAATGAAATGAAATGGGGTTTAACATCCCACTGCCCTACACTGACTGGGCTAATGATGACAGTGTA